CGATATTGACCATTTCTTTATAGTTTAGATAAAAAACTTTTTGGTGTCAGGTTGTATAAGTTGGACCAAACTTGTTTGAAATAGAGCTGTCACACCAGATAAAGCGCCATATTCTTACGAAAATCCGTATTATTAACTTTGACATGCTTGTTAACTAGGATTCAAGTCAAAACTATAGAAATGAATACAGGTATACAAATCTTGAGAAATGAAGTATGTTTCTTGAATTGTTTCCTAACATTCGGACTTTTAAATAAAAACTTTTCTCCAACTTTGATTTTGTTTCCTTTTGAGTAGAGACTCTTTGCAAGGTTCAAGAGCACAGGCGCTAATTTAAGGTTTATGTTGGCGCCTGGTAGATAGTGCCGGTTACCCGAGCTGGTGCTTTTTTCGCTCAACAAATCATTATCGCAGTACGCCGAGATAAGCTGCCAGCATTAAAGCTACACTGCCATAAGGACCAAAGTTTTCTATTTATCCATTTTTATTATTATTATGTAATATGTAGGTTAAGAATATTGTTAATACTTTAAAAACTTCAATAAAGAGTAATTAATATCGATGGAAAACTTTGTATTTAGTACCGAAATTTCCTATTTTTCCAGCAAGAATAGCTATTTGCCGACATATAATTAAAATGCTAATACACAACCCTAGGTGCAATTTAATATATTATCTTGACGATGTTGTGATGTGAGCCTCGAGGATTGATAATGAAAGTTAGATTGATGATCGTGAATTTTTGTTAAATAACATTGTGCTTACAACATTTTTTATCTAGTAATTGCTACTCATATATAATTATTAAGTTGCAATTACTATGAAGCAATATAGACAAGATATAATGCGTTTTAATATGCTTCGTTATATTTGTTAAGCGCCGCGATATATACATCTATTTAAAAAAGATACGATTAAAGATTTGTATGTTTGTAACCATCAAACCCAAAAACTGCGAGATCGATTTGTGATATTATTGAGTAACATAAGCCATATTGAAGGAATAAAAATTATTCTTTTTTACAGTTTGTAAAAAACTTTCGACAATTTTAATATTTTAATGACAATTAAATTAGTTAAATCGCTAACATATCTGCCTATTTCCCTCCCTCTAAGTCTCGGAAATCTAAAGTTTTAGATTTGTATAAATATGAACAAGACTTAAAAATTAGTTTGCCAATGAAGTTTCACTTCTGAGCATACGCTTAACATCCCCCCCCCCCCAGGGGGGGGGGGGGGGGGGGGGGGGGGGGGGGGGGGGGGGGGGGGGGGGGGGGGGGGGGGGGGGGGGGGGGGGGGGGGGGGGGGGGGGGGGGGGGGGGGGGGGGAGGGGGGGGGGGGGGAGAGGGGGGGGGGGGGGGGGGGGGGGCGGGGGGGGGGGGGGGGGGGGGGGGGGGGGGGGGGGGGGGGGGGGGGGGGGGGGGAAAAACAGAGGAAAAAAAAAAAAAAAAAAAAAAAAAAAAAAAAAAAAAAAAAAAAAAAAAAAAAAAAAAAAAAAAAAAAAAAAAAAAAAAAAAAAAAAAAAAAAAAAAAAAAAAAAAAAAAAAAAAAAAAAAAAAAAAAAAAAAAAAAAAAAAAAAAAAAACAACCACAACCCCCCTCCCCTATTTTTTTATAAAAAAAAAAAAAAAAAAAAAAAAAAAAAAAAAAAAAAAAAAAAAAAAAAAAAAAACACCCCCCCCCCCCCCCCCCGGGGGGGCGAAGAAAAAAAAAAAAAACCCCCCCCGGGGGGGGGGGGGGGGGGGGGGGGGGGGGGGGGGGGGGGGGGGGGGGGGCCGGGGGGGTTGGGGGGGGGGGGGGGAAAAAAACCCCGGGGGGGGGGGCCCCCCAAAAAGGGGGATTTGGGACACCCCCCATTTTAAAAGGGGGGGTAAAAAAAAAAAATAAAAAAAATTTTCGGCCGTGGGAAGCCGCTAGTAAAGATACAAAACCTTACTTGTTTATTATCATTCTTAAAAAAACATTTCAGTAATAAATTTCGACCAAAAACAAACTCAACAGTATTAGGATTAGACAAGTAGAAATATATTATTTACAAGCAGGCTACGTCATCGATGGCTAATCTGTGACTGTATTTTATGCCACATGACGCGTTTTTTGATAAATAAATGATAATTTACAAGTTATTTTACTCCATAAAGCTTTTCAAGACACTATGTGTTATACAAGATGAACTTTCAAACACGTTATTTTTCAGACTGTCAAATAGCCAGTTAGTTATATAAATTATTATTTATGGTTAGTTAAATGCGTCGTTTTAAGTTATACAACAGTCGCCTATAAAGAATAGATTTTAGTGAAACAAAACGCATCTGTGGAAATATAAAATAACTCAATACGTTTAATATATTAACAAAATAATGTTCATTACAAGCCTTTGAAAGCCGTTAAAGATAATTTAGAAGTAAAGATATATTATCTGTAGCTATCGTAGACAAACGCAACGTCACTAATTAAACAATGATAGTATCTTAAGTTTAAACTAGTTGGAATTAGGTCTGTATTGCACAAATAGTAAGGAATAGCTGCCAGCTGCACGTTTCGTTAACTAGGGTTGTCAGCACTATAAAAGGGAAAACAAGTCATTTACAATACCAAGGAGGTTATAGTACAAAATATATTTTAAGACGTCTTCATAAAGCCTGCATAATTCATGAAAAAGCTCTATACTTATGCTGAACATTTCTATACTATACATTATTCGATCGGTATTTGCCTTGTAAATAGTAGCAGATGCCACAAGTGTAATAACTTACAAGCCGTCGGAAATATCTGCGAACCTCGCTGGAATGCGCTTCCCTGCGCCCCCACCCCGCCCCGTTTTCGCCTATCCAGTACCGTTGCCAACGCAATCGCCGACGCCGCACGTGTATTATTCTTGCTTTCGTAATCGCATTTTAGTGTTTATTGTTTCTCTGTTTGGTGAAATATTACATAAACTACCTATTTAGTGCTGTATGTAAGATGGGTAGGTACGAGTATCAATAAAAATAAGTACACAAATAAAATATTTTTTATTTTTACATCTTCAATTTTTTCTATCTCTCCAGTTTGTATGACGTCATTAAGCCAGTTCGAGATATTTGACGACTTGTACATTTAATCGCATTTATTCAAACAAGTAACGTTGATGGACAGCCCTATTAAAACCTCTCACTTTCGCGCTATTTTTGTCAATTTTGCGGGAAAATAATCCGAATTGACACGCGATCGCATGTCCGCTCTAAGTGCATAGACAATTAATTTACGACTATATAGTGTGATAAACGCATTTGAAAGCAAACTAAAACTAAAAAAATAGTAATTGTATTACTAACATTGTTATAACGAGTTTTTATTTAAAAACGGTTGAAATAATCAATATTAATATGAAAACAAAAGCAACCAATCGTTAAAAAAACATTAATTATTTGACCAACAATAATAATTTTGAATTATTTTTAGATATTAAACGACTTTTTCTACTAACAATGGCTAAACTAATCCACACATATAGTTACGGTCATAAGCTAGCAATAAGATATACGATTATGACGTCATGTCGTTTCCTACAAAGTTCACTGGTCATGTCATGACCCTAGTCCACGTGGGCAAGATACATACGGTATTCTAATTAGTCTAACTGTCTCCTATCAACTGTAACGACTCGCCCTCTGTGAACAAGGCATCCATTTATTCTTTCAAGGGAATTTTTGTATACATATATCGTGTTGCATGTCCTGTAATTCTGGAGTCCTGGTAAACTTAGTGGTATATCAGTTTACTTTACATACATGGAAATGCACCGCCACCTCGGTGGCCTCTTGCTTAACACACTTGGCGCTTCAGCAGAATTTTTTGTCATATTACCAACGAAACTATAATTTCTGGTTAAAAATTAAATTAATGCAGAATTGTTTATCCCATTTGGAGTTTACAAGATTTAATACTGGCATATATTGATTCCTCCTTTTCATTTAATTATGTTCAATTTTTATATTGTAATGCAACAAAATTTTAATAAATAAATAATTAAAACATTATATTCTATCACTTTATAATTCATACCTCTCATCCTACAACAAAACTAATTAAATTTTATATCACATCATCTATTTACATCTCCACATACACTTAAATGACTGTGTAACATAAAATCAAACTAAATGTAACCATGTTACTAATTATCAAAATGAAAAACCACCATTGTTTATTTCAATCATGCTTTATAATAGGACTGAAATATTACTATATTTTACACTCTTGAAGTGTATTTAAGTTTTACTCTGCTCATACATTATTGTGATTATTCCGGCACATTTAAAAAACTATTTAATGATATTAATAAAAGTAAGTCTACAAAAAAACGAAGATCTAAATTGACAGCTTTTTTTTTACTTTACTACCAGTTAGCAATTAGAATGTAGAGCGGGCGAGAACTGTCAAGAAACTCTTCTCTATTCTTTTTAATAGCCAAGTTTTGGTATACAAGAAAATTGTACGGAACTGTAACCATGCTTGATATATTAAAACAAAATGTCATAATAATAAAGTAAGAAACGCTTCCCATCAGCCAACAAAATAACTATATATTGTTTCTAAGTAATACCAACATAAATCATATGCTCACAATTTCCATGTGTATTTATAAAATATGTTTTTTTTTTAATTCAATATATAATACACAAAACGTTTGTCTGTGCATTCATTAAACAGTTCTTAAAATTTTAAGTTTTCCTATATAACAATAATTCATCTTTGATACATACACAAGAAGTAAAATAAGAGACTTCCGACATTTGGATTGCTTGGAAAATATTGCTTATTAGCTTTCACCAAATCATAATAATCAAATTAACAACTTGTTGAATAATATGGATGTTATCATGAGTACAAAAAATAAAGAAACATAGATATCAAAAGTAGTATAATCTTTTTACTATTCATTCAAAGTTTACAATTATATTCACCCGTGCAAGGGTCATAGCAAAATGTTATAAAAATAACGATATATTTTTCAATCATAACAAATACATAACCTCAAATTCCCTACCTTCATATTTTGCAAAACGCTGTCTATTTTTATCTTCTAATTGTTGTTTTTCTTCTAATTTCTTTCTTTCTTTCTCTTCTTCCCTCAATTTTACAAGATGTCCATGACCTACTGGAATAATATCTTCTTGTTTCTCCAAGGCAGCTTCGAACTGCTGAATGTTTTCGTACAATGGCGCACCGGCAACCGGTAACTTTAGTTTGTCAGAATAGAGTGCTTTAACAGGATCAAATTTAGAACTACATGCACTAATTTCTGAATCTGAAGAAGACCCTGACATATTTATTTTCTTATTTTATAAACAAAAAGAAAACAAACAACACTTTACAGATTGTTAATTCTATTTACTAGTAAGTAGTTTTTCTATATGAAAGCGACATTGACAAATGACAATTGACAATTACCATATACGTAATGTTGAGAGCTAATTTTTTTTTTTTTTTTTTAATTTATTTATTAGCCGGATACACCATGGCATATAGAGTCATATAGATGTTGCCAGTTTAAAACCACAAGGGACGGATTTGGTTGTAGCGTCTTCCTCTTACTAGATGGCACCAAATCATAATCATATCTAGTAAATTATACTAGGTGAGATAACAAATACTGAACATAAAGTAACTTATCGATATGCATTTTATCGAAATGTTGAACTCATTGCCAATGTTGTGATAATTTACAAGGTCTTCATAGCAATATACAGAATCAGGAAGTAAACTAGTCGCTACTCAAGGTTTTGTGCATTATGTATAGAATTAATGTTAAATTTACGATTTCTACAGGAACTACAAATAATTAATTACAATATTAATATGAATCAAATAAACATATTTTAATGTTTACATACTCTAAAAGCCATAAAACCAGATTTTTAAATCCTGTCTTCAGAATAATAAAGAATTTATACTTCATCGTTAAAACTAACTTCTGAAATTGTTACATAAATTAATAATATTATGTAATATTGTGCGTACACGCGCAGCCGTTGTCATGACAACCGCAAGAATATGGCGGACAAGTCAACGTTCGCCTCACGCCATCTCAGATTATCTCCATTTCACTTTCCACAATCTCACGTAACAAGAAATCTTATAAATCATACACTTTGACGATGAAACTTACTTTTTAATTTTGTGTAGAGAAGTTCTTAAAAGAAAATTCTGGAAGCCATAAAATGCTTAAAGTATTGAATAAAGAGACAATAATAAAAAACAGACCAATTTTTTCAATTTTATCATTTTAGTGCTAATACAATAATTACTATGGCAGTATAATATTTACGCTAAGTACAAACAATGTATCTATAAATAATTATTACGACAGGTAATTATTGTTAAAGTGTTTAATAAGTTTTAAATTCAATAGAGAAAGTTCTAGGAAACTGAAAATATATACCTAACAGTTTTTGCAATTAAGCGAGAGGTAACGATACATTGTTTACTTTTTGTAAAAACTTAGTGCATTCAATTATAATTTACAGTGACATTTCTTCCGCGTATTGTCATCACAAATTATTTCTAGCAAAGATTGATTGAACTAGGGATTATTTTTATCATTGAAAACTATCTTAGAAATCCTTGCATTCAAGATTATTGCGCAAAAATAATACTAGCGCCATCTAGAGTGCAGTAGACAAAACATGCTTTATAGAAATTTTGATTTATTCTTAATTTATTTGAGTATATTTACCATATATTAAACAACTGTATTTGTTAAACAAAATACTTTATTGTGGTAGACCTCGCATACTATTTATTGTTTATCCGTTTTCAGAGCGGCGTGTGCAGAATAAGGCGAGCTGTGGCGCGCCGCCTCTATGCCGCATCGACGCAGGTTCGACATACATCGGGACGTCGCCAGGTGAACTCATTGCCATCTACTCTATCTTTTCGCATACGATAATAAAATGTTTAGACTAGAAAAATTATCCTTCTGAATTATTCATCACACTTTATTAACTGTATCGAAAGCATTTTTATTAATTTTCATTAGACTGTATATATTTTTTCTTTGTGAAATGCGTGAGAGCCTACCCTTCTGGTTTTCCCAGGTCACTGCTGAAGAGAAGCGGGCTGCGGGGAGTGAGGTAACCTGGCTGTGAGTGGAGCTTTACGACAATACACCATTATGTGTTCCTCAGAGTACCTACACCTCTAACGTATACAACGAATAATGTACGGTCCGTCCAAGATACTGCCAAACATTTTGAATAAACTTTTTAGTGATTGTACAGTTTTAGTTAATAGTGTTTAGAACGTAAGTGTGGTGTTAGTGATAGCGCCACCTGGCGTATTTTAAGTGTGACAACGTGGCGGGGACGCATGCGCCGTCGGGACCGGCGCTGGCGATGCCATTTATTGAAGACGAGTGGTGGTCAGCGGAAAATGAGGGAAGAATGGTCGATCTCTCCAATTGTTTGCAGGTAATTTTATCTTATTCAAATGACATATGTAATTATGAAAATCGGATTTTCGTAAATTTACTACTAATAGAGTCTGTACGGAAAAATAATCGTCGTGGGATTTGAGGTCGCATATAATAGTGCTCGCAAATAAGAATAATATAAGTTAGCAAAACCGCCAAGTATATTCTCCCGTAGCGACATCTATTGTCGAATAGTAAAACTACAAAAATTTAACATTTGTTTGTTTTGTATGGTATTACATCATTCATATTTTTTTATATCCCCTATTATTGCTTCTTAAAGTATTTTAATTTAAAAAAATATAATATATTATATTTCTCTAATAACACTTTTAGACTCATTTATCATTCTGCTGATTAATATAGTAAGCTGTGGAGTTGCGTTATAAGCCAATTATCAAAATATTAAGAGGTTCTAGATTTGCTTATCTTGTTATACTCATACTTTTTTTTACCTAGAGTAGTTGATGGAACTCAATACTTTTTGTAAAATTTCAGGAGGCGGTAGCAAACGGCCAAACGACAGCTCAAATGCAAATTCAAATGGCGACATCTCTTGGCGAGTTGTCCCAGGCAGAGCTGTCAAACTTCGTCGGAGGACTAACTTTAGAGGCTGACTCGTCAGAGGCCGCAGATCCTGATGACATCCTCAAACAGCTGGGGGAAACTGCTTTTGACAATTTTGATACGTTTTTTACCGATTTGACAAATGCAACTGCTTCCGCTGTACCACCTATAGAGATTAAGGTAAACAAATTATTGCCTGATATGAGATGGTATATCCACCAATCAATTTTTTTCTGGCTAAAGTAATTTTTGACTTTACTGTGTTACTGTATTATATATAGAACTAACTTTTTTCTATTCGTTTTCAGCAAGAAGAAAACAACAACATTTCGCCAGCATCCGGGAGCCAATTACAAGGCTCATATTATCAACAAACTAACCAGCTTATCTTGCCAAATAATGGCCAGCAAAGACTACAACAGCTGCTAAGATCAGGGACCAGTGCCATTAACAGCGCTGTGACGAATACCATTAACAATGGCAGATATAATATCGCGTCAGCAAATCCCCTACTCGCTGAGAAATTAGCAGCGACATCTAGTGGCATAAAACAAGAACCGGGAACTATTGGTTCAGAATACAACGGGACGAGTATGAACTACGGAAGCGCGTCGCCAATGCAGCGGGTACCAAGCGGGAAACCTCAAGTGCACGATGCAGGTGGAGGTAAAGGTGAGCTTTAATTATTTAAAAAAGAGTCATTTGTTAATATTATATTATTACGAGCTCCGCAACTATCCGCTAATGTTAAATGAGGCATGATTTTATGATCACTAAGATAAAATAGTATTAAATTATTAATTTATTTTAGGCCATCTAGTAAAAATACTAGGAACTTTATAAGTAAATAACTCAGTTTAATCTATCTCAACTAGGTGGCGCTGTAAAAAAGTACTCGTTATCCTATGTTCAACGTAGGTGACGTTCAGTGCACCTATCCGATCTCTAAAAGTGCATAGCTGACGATCATATTATTGCAGTTTTCTCTTGCAGTTAATCCACTTTCAATTTCCGCTTGAGGAAGTGGTAGAGATTTTCCTTTCGCGGCTCCCCGCTTTTACCTAGTTAGATTGTCGTTTACGAGAAAGTTATCTTCTAGTTTATTTAATAACTATTTCGATGGATAATTTCTAGCAGTAGTCACGAATAACATAATTATTTTCAAGTAATGATTTACTGGAATATCTCTGTACGTTAATATACGATATTTATAAACTTTCGCGCTCATGAACTTCACAGATATAGTTGAATTTTTAAAAAGTATATAATCATAACCGCTTTAAAATGTTTCTAAAATAAAGTTTTATTTAAGGCTTAAACAAAAATTATACATTGTATTTATTGAGGATTTAAATTTAAAAGGGATACCTATAAGGAAATTCTGCAAATTATGACGCAGTTTTAGCCTGAAGTGAAAATTTCCACAACTTCCTTACATCTTAGCTACAGACCAATATTAGGTATAGGTGTCGAAGACAGTTCGTAATGATTATTGAAAAAGGTTTTGATTGAGAAATTCTATTAAGTTAAGACACAGACTATACTCATTTTTACTTTCTTCTTTTTGAATAAGATTGGCATAAAACATAGTTCGATTTGAAGTAAAAAAATATATCTTAATACTTCGTAGTTATACGTTCATCATGAGCGCATAGTAACTATGACGTCAAATTGGTCACATCGGCCTTGACACAGTGCTCTGATTGATTTCTGCTTCTAGGAAATAAGGATACTCACTTTCCTGTATTATTCCGATATTTGGGTTATCTTATTCTGGTGAATTGTCTAGAGTTAGGGATTCTCCATTGAAATCCTATAATGCGAATAAATGTGATGCGTGTTCTATATAATTTTGTTGCCAACTTCAAAATATATTATTTGTAATAAGGAACTATTACCGACACGGTGTTAGAATTAAAATTGTGTTGTCGTCCTTTATTGATAAACTTAACAGATTTAGTTTGTATGTGGATGGTATAGAAGTATTTTATTAGGTCAAATGATTTTCTATAAAAGCAGTACTGTACAGTCTTTTTTCTGTTGCAAAACGGTTTTTAGAAGTAAATTATGTTCCCCCTTAAAATTTTAAAAGGGCTATGGTTTGAGATATGGTTCCAAGTCTGATTCATAGCATTTCCATGAAACAAAAGCTGTAACACGTTTGCTAATAATTGTATAAATTGAAGTTACCGTTGTAATAAAACCTTTACAAAACTAATGCGTCAAAACATAAAAAAAATATAGCTATAGTCGTTCGGTGGTACTGCTTTTTGTTTTTTAAATATACTTGTCATTCCAGTGTTGTCCAACACACACTTAGCCGGCTATGAGTGCATCGTTGCAACTCCTGCGCAGCCGTGACCCGCTTTTCGCGTTATGTCACTCGCCACCCGCACACGCTTGCGGGATGCTCTACTTTAACGTGGTTTTTACAATGAATTATAAACTTAATCATGACGCAAATATGTAAACTGTATAATGTCGCTAGTACAAAATCCTATACGGTAAAGGTATTCGAAATAATAATAATAAAAATGCATTAGGTAAAAAATAAACCAACATTGGGATTGGGACAAAATAAAGTAGTGAAATAATATAAAAAAAGCAATTATAGATAATAAATTAAAAAATCAGTAATACAACCTTTTAGGTCAGGGCCTCAGATTTCTAGGTTTTCTGATCATTTGTCAATCTAATAGGCAATTAGGTGATCATCCTTCTGTGCCTGACACACGTCGACTTTTTTGGTCTTAGGCAAGCCGGTTTTCTCACAATGTTTTCCTTCACCGTTCGAGCGAATGTTATATGGGCACATAGAAAGAAAGTACATTGGTGCACAGCCGGGAATCGAACCTACGATCTTAGGGATGAGAGTCGCACGCTAAAGTCACTAGGACAATACTGCTGCAATTATAAATAAGCCGCATAAGATATAGGTACACACAATATGTTTTCTATTTACTTAGCTATGGAAGTAGAGCAACATTAATGCGCAAACGCATTGAAGTCACATCCGCGCATCTCGCCTTGAGATCCACTGAAATCGTTGTTGATTTATTGTTATCATCATTCCTATTTGACACTTGTATATGATAGAATAGTAGGACAATACATGCAAGTTTTATATAGCTACAAGTATTAGGAACTAACAACTTTTAAACAAATTTTTCAAAACTTCTCAGTCTCTTAGGTACCTATATAATGTTTGTTTCTATTGCCACAGGGACCATTTTAAATTTATTTTCGTTTTCTATTTAACCGTTGTTAATTATAACTATTACTATGTAGGTTATTGTAAACACTATATTTGTAGTACTACAGAAAGTTACCTAATATATCATTATAAACTGGAAAGATTAAACATGATATATAAAACGAATAATTTATATAAAAATACCTTTCTAAGTATGGAGGTAAATATCGGTAATTATTTCGCACTAATTTATTATTTCGATTTAGTTGTCTACCTGATAAATATACCTACCTAAGAAACATTGCAAGACGAATAAGTCCAAGTTTTTAACAATTCTTAAGGCAACGCACTTGCTATACTTTTGGCAATACTCCTGCCCGTTCGCCTCCTGGTATATAAAAAAAAGACGTGGTAAGATAAAACATGATATATAAAACTAAAAATATATATAAAAATACCTTTCAATGTATATGTGGGTAAATATGAGTAATTATTTCGCACTAAAACATATATTTAATTGTCTACCTCATTAATATATCTTAATGTCGATACAAATTTTTATTAAAAATTATTTTAATTTCGGACTGGATTTATTTTAATAGTTTCCTACAGTCTTCCTACTACGTGTAGGGAGATATACCTAATCATACCTAAACATTTTCGGGATTGGAATGTAAAATCTAGACTAACAGGAACATATGCCAATTTTATTAGTGTGTGCATGTCACGTTGTAAGTTACACGTGATGTTTTGATTAGTATTCTGTGAGCTCGCGCGGTGCAATAATTGCGAATTAATTCACGCCTAGTACGAAATATAACTGCTGTTTCTAGAACATTCCGGGGATTCCCGTTAAAAAAATACAAAACACATCGAATATGTATTTTTCTTCAACAGTTGTTCACGATCAGACACCGTAAACTTTTAAGTTTGGTATAATCTCTTGGGTGGTTTGTGGAATTTGTTTTGTGTATAATACACATTGGTATTTTTTTTAAGATTACAGTCTTAGTAAAAAAATCTACGTTTCCTCTATGTATGGCTATTTTACTTTAAGGGTAATTACAAATTTTTAATTCTCAGTAGGTCCAGAAAGCTGATCTATAATATTACAAAATAATTGCCATAATTGCAAAAACGCCATCCTTATCCATTGCGGGAAGACTTAAACGAAAGTCCGAGTTTACAAAGAAAATATTACCCCTACTTTTTTGTATTAAGTAAAGTCTATGCAGTAGGTATACGATAAGAATGATCTAGCTCCTTGAGTGCGTGCGACAACCCGAACCGTGTCAATGACAAACGCACACATCCTGTCCAATGCACACATGTGCAGTGAAATAGTGCGTGCTTAAGGCAGTACTAAAGATTTTCGCATCGTATCGGCCCGCAACGCACTATATTGTGGGCATATGCCAGTAATTTGTTGAAATTATTATTGGTTTTCGTGAGTGCTAAGTAATTACGTAGTAAATAAAAATTGTTTATAAAAAGCGAATATCTCACAAGTGTACAGCACTTGAAACGTCAAACTATGTAAATGTCTCATATCCGTTCAGAAGTTTTAGATAATTTTGGTGGAAGTCGGGTCCTTCAAGAAAAGATCATACCAATTCTTATAATTGGCAACGCAATCACGAGCCCTCTGCAATAGATAGTGCCCATGGGTGGCTATATCACTTAACATCAGGTGAGCCTCCTGCCAGTTTGCCTCCTGTAACATAAAAAAATATATTAAAAAAGTGCCAGTTTTCCAAGTGTCCTGAAAAATGGTGCAGCAGATCTTCACTTTCAGGAATATTGCTATCGGAGTCTAAGCTAATCATCTAGGGACTTTTTGGACATCCTCTAAAATCACATCAAAACGAATGACAACCAGCTAAAAACATTAAGACGTATAAAAAAAACTTGATTACCTATATCATAACACTAACTACATGTATCATAATATAACTATTTTTATCTATTTGCATATATTTTGTGGACACGTTAAAACTCTGTAAAATGCAATTCGAAAAGTTTTAAGGTTTGGAAGCGCCTTATCTCCTTACGTTATCATGTTCCGTTTTAGGGCTATGTTAAACATTTTCGCTTGCAATTTAACACACACACACACATATGTTTGTCTATCGTTATTATTTAGCTATAGACCATATTAATATGTTAATTCGTTTGATTTTAGTGTTTATTTACACTGTTAATTTGATACCGATACATAACGCTCTACGTGTGGCGTGAATCGTGAATCGTGGTGGCGCTGGCGTGTAAACAATAGCTCCGTGTATTTTATTGTTTACTAATAGTTTAATCGCGTTATTTCAAATAAAAAGTAACTCAGTGAGGTTTCTTAAAGTTATCTTTGTGGTGGTAATGTTATACAAGTATTTTTTTATGAAACAGTGACAATAATAACAATAAAAATTTTTGCCCCTAACATTTCATATAAAATTATATTTTTGCTTGGAAATACAATTCTTACTCAATCTACAA